TCAGACTGGGGCTCCCTGAGGGCAGGGCCTAGCTCAGCCTGGAAGAGGCAGGGCTGACATGGTGGAGGTTGGGGCAGCCTGAGCCCCAGACGTGGATTTCACAGGGCTCTACACCTCTGGCACCAGCCCTGAAGAAGCATTGGCTTATCTCCTTGGGGCCTGCCCTCCTCGGTCCAGACACAGATTAAGGGCCCTCTCGCCCTCTTAAGACAAAGCCAGGCTGAGGCGATCTCCTTAGGTGGTGACCTGGATATTTATACCCGAGAGTGTCTCCCAGGCCACAAGGCTCAAAGTTTCCTAGGAGACCTGAGAGAGGAGGGGGGACATCTCGGGCAACCCCTGGGCGTGCAGAACCCAGATTCAGCACGGGAAATGCTCCAGAGGAGGCCTGGACTCCCTCCAGTCTAGTCAGGGGAGAAGGGGACCCCCGGGAAGCGAGGGACAGCCGAGCCCTGCCCACACCAGGGACCAGGGACCCTGCAGAACTGTGACCATCTTCCCCCGAATACAGCCTCCAGCCAGCTCCTGGCTCCAGGACCACTGCCCCAGGGTCCCGGGGCCGAAGCAGAGTCCGGCCTCCTTTTGTCGGAGTCCTCCAGCATGGTCAGGGAAGAACCACCGGCTGGGGAAAGGAGTCCTGGTGGTGTAGTGGTTACACGCTAGGTTGCAATCTGCAGAGTCGGCAGTTCGAAACCATCAACCTCTCCTTGGGAGGAAAACGGGGTTTTCTACTCCCCATAAATAGCTACAGTCTGGGAAACCCACCGGGGCAGGTCTACCCTGTCTTGCAGGGTCGCCGTGAGGCTGAGGCAGTGGTGACTTGCTGGCTGTGAATTTGGGTTGGGCTGGGGTTAGAAGGGAATGATAAAGACCCGAGCGTGCTCAGGTGCTAGTGGAAAGGTTAGAAGTTCAGGTCCACCCTGAGGCCCCTTCAAAAGACTCTTGGCAAAACCCGCTTCCTACAAAATCAGCCTATGAAAGCACAGGGGGTCGTAGCAGGCTGCAAGGCAGCTGGGGGAGTTGGGTGGGTTTTGGGTGAAGGGTAAATAACCCCAGACCTTCCCCTGCCCTCCTGCAAGTCCCCGCCCCGGCCACTCCACCATCAGAGGCCCTGGAGGTCCTGCCGAGAACATCCTGTCCTAAAGTCTTCCAGCTCACAAAAATAAGCCGACTTTCTATTTTCCAGGGGAGGATTTTTGTCAGCCAGCGCTGCCACATAGACATATTAATCACACGTCTACGTGAGCAGAAAACCACTTTCCCCGCAGGGCCCCTGTGTGGAGGGAAGTACCAGACCACATCCTCTCATTCATTCCTGTAATCATGCACGGATTTGTTCCTTGTCTCTAAACCAAGTCAGACTCCACTGCCATTGAGTCAACTCCAACCCGTCATGACCCCCCAGGACAGGGTAGAACTGGCCCTGTGGGTTTCTGAGACTGTCACCCTTTAAAGCAGTAGACAGCCTCATCTTTCTCCAGAGGAGCGGCTGGTGGCTTCAAACTGCTGACCTGGGGCACTAGCCCCAGACACTGTCCCTCAGGCAAAGCCAACTAACTCCCCAAGGCTTTCTGGACACAAGCCCAGGCGCCTAGCCTCCCTCGGGGCACCGCACACAGAACCTGCCTGGAAAAGTCTGGGGCGATGAGAATGCCCTCCTCGCCAGCTGGCACAGCGCGGCCACAGGGCCCTGGGGCTCTGGGAAAAGCAGAGGGCATCCTGGTTCTACAAATTGCATGTTGAGAACAGCTCTCTAGAAAGTTACACCAGCACGCAATGGCTTCCCGGGGACGCGGCCACAGGAAATACCACACAGAAAGGGCCATGAGAGAGAAAGCAGAATCCACACAGAGGTCACTGCTGTCCCTTGTCATGAAGAACAGTGTTCATGACTGCTGGGAGCTACGTGCAGACGGAAGGGCCCGTGCAGCGGAACATGACTGTGTGTCAACAAGTCAATCCCAAGTCCTAGCAGCACCGCAGGACAGAACACAGCGGCCCCCGAGGGTCCCTGGGCTGCGAGCCCTCGGGGTGTCGCGGTTACGAGTTGGGCTGCGGTCCTCAAGGTCCAAAGTTCGAAACCACAGCCACTCCTCGGGAGGAAGATGGGGCTTTCTGCCCAGGCGACAGTGCTGTCTTGGAAAGCCATGGGGGCAGTTCTGCTCCGAGTCGGCATGGACTTGATGGCCGGGGGTGTGCTTTGGGTGTGGAATCCTGCGGGCAGTAGACGGTCAAGTCTGTCCTCCAGAGGAGTCGATGGTGAGTTCAAATCCCCGGCCTTCCAACTAGCAGCCAAGCACTTAGTCCCCAAGAGTCCCTGAACTGTGACGCAGCTATTCCATCGGAGCGGCTTGTGCATATGCGAGTGTTCGTCTAGAGCAGCGGTTCTCACCCTTCCTCATGCCTCGACCCTTCATGCAGCGCCTTATGGGGTGGGGACCCCCAACCATAACACTGTCGTTGCTACTTCATCATGTCATTTTGCTACGGTTATGCATCGTCATGTCAATATCTGATAGGCAGGATGCATTTTCATTGTTACAAATGGAACATCGTTAGAGCATAGTGACTCATCACAAAAACAATATGTAATGATAGATTTACTTCTAAGTACACATCAATGAAATGTGGTCTTGAAGCATGGGGTAGCATGGGTGACAGTCTTCACACTGAGTGCTCGGATGTGGGCACATTTACACGTGGGCAGACTTCTGGAGATGGATAGAGGAGCGGTGTCTCTGTTCCTGAGACCATCGGAAAAATGTGTCTAGTGACGTAGCCTCTAGGGCACTCGGCTGCCTCTGTGCTGCAGTCAGCGGGGATGTGCGCTCAGCTGCGCTGAGGTGAGGGCAGGTCAGCGAAGGATCAATGGAGGGCGAGGCCGAGAGAAACCTTGGTTACCAGAGTCCATGGGTGTCGGGTCATTTCACCTCCAACAAGTCGGTGTGAACACTGAGGGAGTCTTGACCAGCTGGGTGGGTGCTGGCCTGCAAACCTCAGGAAGCTGGCCACCCGGGAGGAGCAGCCTGGGACTAAGCAGGGTCTGGGGACTTCCAGGAGACTGTGGAAGTCTCTCCATGGACTGACTCTAGACGGAAGAAGCCAGGGGACATGTCAGAAAGCTCCCTTCTCTTCTGCTCCCAAAGGCTGCTTCTGCCATGCCCTCTGCTTGCGTCCTGAGGGCAGGCCACCTGGCGCCGCCCCTGCAGATCTGTCCTCTCAGACGGCCAGAGTGGCTTACACTCCTTTCCCCGAGCGGGGATTTGGAACAATAATCCCCATCCGCAGAGAAGAAACGAAATCTCAAGGACTGACCTAGAATCTGAACCCCTTGCCCTTCGAGGCGCACTAAGCTGGCCACCTGGGGTGCACGCATGTCTGGGCCCCAAGCATGCCCTGCTGCTATGGCCAAGGGTCCGAGTTCAAGCCCTTCCTGGACTTGCCATCTTGAATCGGGATGAACAGCCGCACAGCCAGGTGTGGACGGAGTTGGACAGAGAGACGAGGGGAGAGCAGGCTGCCCTTCCCTGGAGCCGGACTCGAGGGCCATGCTGGGGTCCACTGGGACTAGCACATGTGCCACTGCCTCTAGCATGGACCAGGGCCCTCCTCCTCTCTCACCAACCTCTCCTTCCATCCCATCTCAGACTTGGGTTCTCCACATGCCAAGGACACATAAGCCTCACTGCCGGGTTGCACTCCCACGCACCCTCAGAGCCATCGAGTCCCCCGCCTTTAGGACAGAGTAGAACTATGCCAGTGGGTTTCCGAGACGTAACTGTGTACAGAGTGAATGGCGGTTTCGAACTGTCGACCTGGTAGTTAGCAGCCTGCGGTGCCCCTGGGGCTCCCAGGAGTGCCTCTCAGGAGGTGTTCAATCTAATGAGCAGAACCAACTCCGTCTTCTGAACAGAACAAGGTGAGCTGCAAGCTCACCTGTTACGGTGCCGCCCTTCAACGCACGGGCAGAGGAGGGCAGCATGCCCCCTGCAGCGCTCCAGAAACCCTCCTCGCCGCCCAGTCAACGGCCCCGTGTTCTCAAGGGTCTGCTGTGAGGTGTAGTTGACTGGGGGGCACACACCACCACCTCCCAGAGCCCAGGGGGATTGCCCAAGGTCACACAGCGAATCAACAAGCTTAGAGCTCCTGATAGTTCTCTCCCCTCCTTCCCCCTCCCCCCCTCGCCACCACCAGACCTCTTGGGAGTGTGGATTCAGAGCTGAAAGACTGGGAAACGGGAATTCATGAGGAAAGCTGACGTTTCAGGAACTGAACCCCTCTACTTCGAGTAAGCAAGACATGAAGCCAAATTAACGCCCAGACTTGCTGCCACGGGAGCCAATGCCGTCCGTTCACAGCGACCCTGCAGGACAGGTAGAACTGCCCTGTGAGTGTCCCAGACTGTCACTCTCTGTGGGAGTGGGAGAGTCCCACTGCTGTCCCTGCGGCTCCGGGCTCCCGATGAAGCCAACGGATGGCTCCCAATAGGGCACCGGGTCACAAGCGCACCCCAGCAGTGGGACACAGACACCCACTTCCTCCTGGGGACTCCTGCGCAAGCCATGTGCATCACCTGCTCCCTTCCTCTCACCTCAGCCAAGAACTCAGTCCAGCCATAGCACGCTCGTTTTATCGGTCAAAACGTGGTGAGGACATGGGCGCTGTCATAGGGTCCACCTCCCTCCACCGTCGCCCTCGACTCAAGGGCAACACATAGTCACCCCACGTGCCATCGGGTCTCCTGAGCTAGAATCTCTGCCAGAGCAGATGGTTAGGTCTTTCGGCCCAGGGACCGGCTGATGGACTCAAAGCACTGGCCTTAGGACCAGCGGTCAAGCACTTAACCAGTGCACCACCAGCTCCTCGTTCCACCTCACACACCCTTGTGCAGGCAGCAGCGAGTATACACAGAGCCCAGTTGGGGGGAAGGGACCCTGAAGAGAGGCGTGGGCCTCCGTACTCCCAAGGGGCTCTGAGCCAGGGGACAAAAGGCCACTCACTCTTTGACTTCCTTGGAGGAAAAGTCCAGGTAGCGGTTGCTGATCCACTGAATCTCAAACCAGTCCCGAAAGCCGTTGTTGCCACAGCATTTGAACTCAATCTGCAGCAGGTCGATGGTCTTCTTCATGAAGCACCTGCCTGGAGTGTCCGTGTCCCGGTAGTACTTCATGCCGCTCTTGAGCCCGTCTGCCAAGGTGCCCTCCAGGGAGCCCTGTGCCAGAAAGCAGCAGAGGGCCACAAGGAGGAGGCCCACATGGAAGAGGACGCAGACCAGCAGGTAGGGCTGCAGCCAGGGCTTCCACTTGGCGTACTTGGCCGCATCCAGAGCATCGTAGCAGATCTTGCCAGCCAGAGAATTGAAGACACAGGCCAGCGCCCCCATCCCTATCAAGGAGTTGGGCACAAAGTGGCTCTCCGAATTATTCATCACGTCGCTCCTCTTCCGGAGCTCGATCTTCAAGAACAGCCCCAGGCTGAAGACGATGATGCCGGCCAGCACAGAAAGCCAGTTCAGGAGCCAGAGCCCTTGGGCCAACTTGACCCTCTTCTTCTGGTTGAATTTGACTTTCAGCAGTGCCATGTTTGCCGCGGGCCGTCCCAGCCGCCTCCCGGAGCCAAGCTCACCGTCAAGGGGAGGGTGCGGGCAGCTGCAGGGGGCTGCCCATGATGAGCCTGCCCTAGCCCGAGAGCCCTGTTAATCCAGGCATGGTGGCAGGACCCTCGGAGTCACAGCTCGGGCTGGTCCACAGCGTGGTCTCTGCGGGTCCTTCCCCAGCCCACAAGGGACAGCTGAACACCGCCGATTAAAAGTGGGAGCCACAAGACATCTCGCTAATCCCTTTAGCCAGGTTCATCCCCTTAGATAAAGCCCCATACAGCTCAGAACATGGCCACAGGGGCCTCTGTGTCCATGCAGAAGCAGAAAGCCCTGGATTTGGCTTGGGAAGGCCAGAGCAAAAAGGGCCAGACCGGCTGGAAGAAGGACTTGATCTGGACGTCTGACTGAGATCTTGTGTTTCCCAAGAACCAAGTTTCCAGGCTTAGCTCCTGCAGGAAGTTGCCTTGCCCACAGTGTTCTCCCACCCACACCTCCCATCACAGGGC